AAGAGAGAGAGAGAGAAAGAGAGAGAGAGGGGTGATATACTGACATGTATTGTAGACAAGAGGGTCCAGAACAAACAGTTCATCTATTTTTTAACACATTGCAAGTTCCCCGTCACTGTGTTGGCACTGTTGTCTCGGTTTAAGAGTACAAAAACAGAGAAGGAGAGGGAGAGTAAGAAGGGGGAGAGAGGGGTTGAAGAAAGAGAATGAAAAATTCTCACACAGGTAAATGAGCGTCAAAACATACAAGGCAAGATATTCGTTATGTGACAGATATACAGTTAAATAAATGGAGAAATAATCGATAAACGCACATCCTCATAGATCTACGTCTGTTCAAGCGTGGAAAAATAAAAGTGTAGATTATTATATACATGCATTTTCGCAGGTACTTAACACACACACACATACACACGCACGCGCGCACACACACACACACACACACACACACACACACACACAAACGCACACGCGCGCACGCACGCACACACTTACTTTTTAAAGAAGCAACTTCCCTATATTCACGTCTCCGTCCATTCAAATAAGCATTAATAGTAGCACAGAGTAGTATGAATTTTTATTTCACAATATATTCAAATACACATAGACACTGAAAATTTATTGTAAGAATGGCTCACATGTAGTCAAATAATGTACATTTCATTTGATGTTAACAATAGTTAACAACTAGTTTACAATATACTTTAAAAAATAATAAATCTTGAATGAGTGTGTGCTTGTCTCATAGACAAAGATGTCCAAATTTAGAGCTGATTCTTTTCGCGAGTTTCAGAGGGCGCAGAAGGGGAGGAGGAAGAGCAGAAAGACGGGGGCTAGGAGGAGAAGAACAAGGAAGAGAGGCATGATATTGGTGATGAGGATGCCGGCAAAGAAAACGAGGAAGTACCGGAGGAGCCATACGTTGTATGAGAATAATTATGACAATTAATCTTCACCCCACCAAAGTGTTCTGCCGACTTTGGCGACCCGACCCTTAAAGAAGTCGGTACAGAGACTACAACAGGAAAAAACAAAAATAAAAACAATAAATATAACAGCAACAAAAAAGGATATTACTTATAACAACAGAAATAATGATAATAATACCGTATACTGACCTATGATACGAGCGATTTTAACAAAGAAATGAGGTCCTGAAGTATAACCACCTCCACCCCCTCTGTATTATACGCGAAACATAAGCTCTTCTGATGCAACACATTCCTTTCGATTGTGATTAGTGATGTGAAAGAAACATTAGACTGAATATTGTTACCTGAGCTGGGGGGGGGGGGGGGGTCGTTTTTCTTTTCTTTTTTCTCACACGATATACAGTATGTCAGGAATTCATTTCGTTAGATCTATAAATCACACTGATTTTGGGATATATCCCCGTAATACATGTATTGGATGAATCTGAAAACTCTAGCATCTGCGTTTGTTGCCATTTTATTGTCCAAAAGTTGCCAAAAGTTGCCACAAAAAGTGGCAAAAGTTGCCCAAAAAGTTGCCATTAATTTTCAAGCTTTCAACTCTCTGTGACGACGTAATATAGCAATAATAATATGTTGATAGAGGTAACAATCTAAAACACCAGAATTTCTTGTACTCTGTTTTAAGCATCCACAAAATCATTTGTTGTCACCCACAGGGTAAAAGCGTGAAACATAAAGGTTTCACAACAGAATGAAATTAAAATTAGAATAACATGAATAAATAACCACAAAAATTGACTAATTGGGGTGCATGTCCACCTATCTGAAGATTGGCTGTTTTAACCCTAAAAGTGTGTTATTCAAGAAAAAGTAGGCTTGCAAGATACCACATGTGAATTATTTTATGGAATTACACAC